TGTATTACTTTCCTTAATCCTCATCTCAACCCTTTGGGGTAGGATACTGTCATTAACCCCAGTTAACAAATAAAGAAATTGAGACATAAAGAAGTTAAGTAACTTGTCCATTACCCTTTCATTACCCATTCATTTTGTGAAAATGGACATGACAGATTAATTTTGCCTAATGTAACTGTAAATCCGTATAGCTACTAAAAAAAGAATATTTCACCTATCTTCATATAGTCAGTATCACATTTTTAAATATCTACACACCAGCCAAGTTTTAAGAACCCACCATGATATCAAATAATGCTATCAGAACAAAGAATAATCAGGTAAAAAATTGGTTTTTATGAGAAATTCCAGCGGTGGGGTCATTTATTTAATATTTTCATCTCTTGTAATCCTTCTATAAATGTTTATTCAGATAAAGTATTATTTTTATTTATTAAAATGCCTTTCTACTGATAAGCTATATTATTAGTAAATTTGCCAATTTTATGCCATGCATTTTAGAATCAAAAGTCATAGATGTTTGTGGGAAATGTAAATGCCTGTTATATATGTGTGTGTGTGTGTGTGTATGTATACATATATATGTGTGTGTATATATACCCCCAGTTAACTGAGACGTGTTCATATATAAATTTATAATAGAGGTAGAAAATGGAGATTTCTAATGCAGTGGAAGTGTGCAGGATTTAGAGTGGTAATCAGCAGTACTGCAAGAAAGTGAAATATTGTGTAATGATCTTGATCACTATATAATGACCAATCAGAGCACCGAGGTTCATTTAGCAACATTCCCTGGAGTGCACTCATAAATGCGGTTTTTTCAGCTGTTAGGTTTTTTCCCCGTTTGTAATCTGTCCTCTATTTCCAGTCTTATCTTCCACCTCCCCAAGCCACAACATCCTCTCCCATAACTTTACAGAAGTTCTCAGTCTCTCTTTTGTGCCTCTCTGCCTTTGCACATGTGATTTCCTCAACGGAAATATACTCTCCCTATTTTCTTTGTATGTTTAAGTCATACTTACCCTGTTAAACCACCAAATGCATTGACTTAAATAGGTTGAAAAAAAGTCTTTTGTAGAAAATTTCCATAGCTATTTGTATTTGAGCTATAAAATTTTATAGAATGCGCCTACAGTTCATAATTTACCCTTTAATAGTCTTGAGAAAGAGTATGTATAGTGGAAAGAATGCAAGCTTTGGAATAACAGAAATTGATTTCAGATTCTTCACTGTCTCTGAGCTTGGGCAAGTTATTTAACTTCCCTGAGTCTTGGTTTCTTCACCTAAATAATAATTGATAAGTTTGCTGGGAAAAATAAAACAAAATAGTATGCGTAAAATGCCTAGGAAAATAATGGAGTATTTTAGATTTAAAAAAAGCACAAAGCTTAGGTTTTTACATCTCTGCACTTTATAGTAACTTGCTCTCTTGGCCATTTTAAAAGTGTTCATAATAGTAAGATAGTCTATTTTTAGTTAAGCCAGGTACCAGTTCAGTTAATACAAAAGTAATTCTTAATTCACTAAGACTTTATTTATAGCTGTGATCCCCTCAAGCAGTTCCTTTTGTCTTCAAGCTGTTTATCAAATAATTTTTAGAACCTGTTACTGACATTTTGATGTGTTTATAGTGAGGTACATGATCATTTACAACTTGACACCAATGAGACCATTTGCAAACATATATTTTTCTTTTGTTGTTGTTGTTTATGGTTGTAGTTTAAGTGAAAGTTTACATTTCAAGTTAGTCTCTTATGCAAAAATTTATACATACATTGTTATGTGACCCTAATTGCTCTCCCCATACTGTGACAGCATACTCCTCCTTTCCACCCCTGATTTCCTATCTCCATTCAACCAGCTTCTAACCCTCTCTGCCTTCTCATCTCGCCTCCAGACAGAAGCTGCCCGTTTAGTCTCGTGTATCTACTTGAGCTAAGAAGCATACTCTTCAGGAGTATCATTTTATGTCCCACAGTCCAGTCTAATCTCTGTCTGAAGAGTTGGCCTTGGAAATTGTTTTAGTTCTGAGCTGACAAAGAGTCCAGGGAGCATGCTTTCTGGGGTTCCTCCAGTCTCAGTCAGACCATTAAGTCTGGTCTTTTTACTAGAATTTGAGTCCTACACCCCACCTTCCTCCTGCTCCATAAGGGACTCTGTGTTGTATTCCCTGTCAGGAGGGTCATTGGTGGTAGCCGGACACCATCTAGTTCTTCTGGTCTCAGGCTGATGAAGTCTCTGGTTTATGTGGCTGTTTCTGTCTCTTGGGCTAATACTTTCCTTGTGTCTTTGGTATTCTTCATTCTTCTTTACTCCAGGTGACTGGGACCAA